AAAGGTGCAAGGCCTCTGCTGTTGGGAGCCCAGACAGGCTTTGAGGGGCAGGCATGGCTGGTTACCCCTTAAGAGACCTGGGATGCAGGAGCTGGAGCACCTGGGCACAAGGGGTGGAAGTGTTGGTAATGCTCAACATGGCTGTGGTTAGGGAGGTGAAAGAGAAAGAGGTACAGGTATAGGAGGCCAATCTCCAAATCCCGAGTGGAGGCAGCACAGGGAGACCCCGGGTAGGAAGCATGTTTGTTTGCCAGAGCATGTGCCCAAGACTGGGCCCACTTAGGAGGACATCAGCTGGCTGTGTGTTTGAATACAGTAAAGTAGGGCAGAGAGGAGACCCCAGAACGAAAGGAAACTTGGCAAAGACACCATCTAGTAGGGCAGGCTGTGGGGGAGAGCAGGGGAGTGTAGACCAGGCAGCAGACCTTTGGGCCCTGAATCTCAAGACAGTTTGGTCTCCACCATGACCAGCGTGTAATGAGATGGAAAACCTTACCTTACCAGGCTCGTTACTGATAGTAAAAAGACCCTCGGAAGCAGCCAAACGGGAGCATGCAGGGTCTTTCTGCAACCCCTCCACGTTTCAAGAACTCGATTTACCTCCAAATGTTAATGCACTGTTTGATGTTTCTCAAGTCTTTGATTTTCTGCCGATTTCCCCCTTACTACCCAGCCCCGCCTCTATTTTCTTGAAGACACTGTTTAAGCTCTCTCTCTTTTTTTTTTTTCGTATTTCATTTTTTTCTTATCAGTTACATTTTATTAACTATGTACCCCAGCCGTGTCCCGATCCCTCATTCCCTCCCATTCCCTCCCTCCCTCCCTCCTCTCCACCGTGCCCCTTGCCAAGTCCACTGATAGGGGGGACCTCCTCCCCATTCATCTGATCCTGTTTTATCAGGTATCCTCAGGACTGGCTGCAAAGCTCTCCTCTGTGGCCTAACAGGACTGCTCCTCCCTTGGGGGGTGGGGAGGCCAAAGAGCCAGCCATTGAGTTCCTGTTAGAAATAGTCCTTGTTCCCCTCACTATGGGAAACCAATTGGTTACTGAGCTACCACAGGTTACATCTGAGCAGAGGTTCTAGGTTACATTCATACATGGTCCTTGGTTGCATGTCAGTCTCAGAAAAGACCCTGTGCCAAGATATCTTTGGTCCTTGTGGAGCTCCTATCCTTTCCTCATCAGTCTAACTCCCCTTCTTTCTTATGATTCCCTGCACCCTGCCAAAGGTTTGGTCACGAGTCTTTGCTTTGAAAACACCGCTAGTACCCAGCTATACCACTGCTAGGTATATACCCAAAGTTTGCTCAAGTACACAAAAGGGATATTTGCTCAACCATGTTTATAGCAGCTTTATTTGTAATAGCCAGAACCTGGAAACAACCCAGATGTCCATCAATGGAGGAATGGGTACAGAAATTGTGGTATTTTTACACAATGGAATACTACTCAGCAATCAGAAAGGAGGAAATCATGAAATTTGCAGGCAAATGGTGGAATCTAGAAAAGATCATCATGAGTGAAATATCCCAGGAGAAACACAAACACGGTATATACTCACTTATATAGACCTATAAGATATAATAAACATAATGAAATCTATACACCTAAAAAAGATAATCAAGAGAGCGGACATGGGGTAAGATTATCAATCCTCGTTTTGAAAGACAGATGGGATATGCATTGAACATTGACAGGAGTCTACTGAGCGCATTGGAAAGACTCTAACTAGCGGTGTTTTCAAAGCAAAGACTCGTGTTTTAGCTCTCTTGGGACTCAACTCAGGCTCAGCCTTGGCAGGACTGCTTAGATGCCGCAATACCTGTCTGCCTATGTCACGTCCTTTACTTACAAGCTACACTGAGGCCCGTTATTTATGAACGTTGCCAGGCGGTCATATGAAACATCACTTCTTCACATGACAAGCTAGGTTCCTGCTGTGCAGTCTTCCCATCTTTAGCCACTAGTTACGCTGAGTGATAAGTTTGCATAGGAAAAGGCAGGAGAGATGCTCCATTTTTTTCTTTACTAAACAGTTCTGAAAACAATAAATTGGTTCATTGAAATACTCAATAGGAAATAAAATGCTTAATTAAAAGTTACATTTATTTTGTGTGTGTAGGGGGTTTGAGCACACGTCAGTGTATATGAGTAGGAGGTCAGAAGACAACTTTCGGGAGTCTGTTCCTTCCATCATGTCAGTTTGAGGGATTAAAGCTCAGGTTGTTAGGCTTGGTGGCGGGTCCCTTTCTACCCACTGAGCCATTTCTTTGGCCCCAAATTCATTTTATAAAGAATCATGAAGCTACAGACTTTGAAGTGTTTGAATTCACTGTAATCTTATCCTGGCTGATACTCAGTTGTTTCAGGAGCTTTTAAACCAGTTCCTGTTCTTCAGGACAGTTCCTGTTCTTGTAGTTACTAGACTGGCTCATCGTGGCTAGGGAGAGAATTAGGCTTTCTTCAGATCCGTTTATCACCCCTGAGCAGCCCATCTTCTGCAAAAGCACAGCTTGGACAAGACTCAGATAACCAAGCAAGACTCAGAAAGCCAAGTGAGTTCAGTTTTACAAAATAAGAAAAAATTATTTCTGTATTTATAGTATCTTGGAGAAAATTACAACCAGAACAGTCAAATGGGTCACAAATGACTTACCAGACCAGGTTCAACTGTGGAAGATGATAGATTTCAAACAATTATTTGTAAACTGAGGGTAGGGCAATGCTTTGAGAACCCATGGGGAAAAAAAATGCTTACTCTATAGGTTGCCAGTCCTATACCAGGACAGAAATGGGCATATCTGAACTTCAGCTCAGAAGGGTTTGGGGGAATGGCCAAAGCTCTTAAGTTGCTTGGATATGTAGGTATGGCTACTTTTCTCTGAGAGAGTCAAGTTAAGCAAGCAGTTAAGTGTTAAGTATCACTGCTAAGGAACTTTATGTGCTGGTTAGCTCCTGTCAACCTGACAAACTAGTTACCTGGGAAGGGGGACCCTCAATTGGAGAACTGGCTCCATCAGAATAGTCTGTGAGGCATTTTTTGAATAATGATTGATGTGGGAGGGCCCAGCTCACTGTTGACGGTGCTTACCTGAGCAAGTGACCCTGGGCTGTATAAGAAAGCAGGATGAGCAAGCCCGCCTCAGTAGGCAGCATCTCTCCATGGCTTCTGCTTCAGTTCCTGCTCCCGGGAGATGTGGGCTCCTGGCCTGGCTTCCCACGATGGTAGACTGTGACTTGGAAGTAGCCCCAAGTTGCTTTCAATGATGGTACTGACCATAGAGGCAGAGAAACAAACTACAACAGCATGTGCACATGAGGGCTGTGTTTTGTGGCTGGCTGGAGGTTGCTTAGATATGTAGACGTTAAGGGTCTGTGTGCACAAGTTCTCTCCCCTAACACGTTGTGTGCACACCCTGGCAGAAAGCGCTGAGCCCCTAGGGAGCGATTATTATTATTTTTTTTAATTTTATTTTTCTTATTAGTTACATTTTGTTAACTCTGTATCCCACTCCCTCATTCCCTCCCCAATCCCACCGTCCCTCCCTCATCTCCTCCCTGCCCCTTTCCAAGTCCACTGATAGGGGAGGACCTCCTCCCCTTTCATATGACTCTGTTTTGTCAGGTATCTTCAGGACTGACTGCAAAGTCCTCCTCTGTGGCCTAACAGTACTGCTCCTCCCTTGGGAGGTGGGGAGGTCAAAGAGCCTGCCATTGAGTTCCTGTTAGAAATAGTCCTTGTTCCTCTTACTATAGGAAACCAATTGGTTACTGAGCTATCACGGGTCACATCCGAGCAGAGGTTCTAGGTTATATCCACTCATGGTCTTTGTGAGTGTCCATCTCAGAAAAGATCCTGTGCCCAGATATGTTTGGTCCATGTGGAGCTCCTATCCTTTCCCCATCATACTAACTCCCCCTTCTTTCATATGATTCCCTGTACTCTGCTGAAGGTTTGGTTATGAGTCTTAGTATCTACTTTGAAACACTGCTAGGTAGAGTCTTTCAGATGCCTTCTGCGGATGTAGAGTGAGATATTCTTTATCATTTGTGATTGGCTAGGTCATCACAGTATCAGCATTACCAGGAGGGAACATTTGAAAACATACACTCAGAACTGGGTGTGGTGGCATGCATCCATAGTCCTGGCAGTGGCAAGAGGACTATCACTAACGTAAAAGCAGCAAAGAACTACAGAGTGAGTTCTTAGCCAGTCAGGGATACTTGAAAGAAAGACTGTCTCAGAAAAGCACTATATACACTTAGAGATATGGCCTTATGCAACCATAAAAATTCATGTCAGCTCTGTTCCCTTCCAATACCTGGATATAGTGAAATGGTGTAAATGAGGCCCAGTCACTTTTATTTTTTTAAAGCATTCCTGATTGATGGTGATGGCTAAACAACTGTCCAACCGAAATGCCCCTCCTGAAGAATGTTCACCTCACATTGTTATTACTGTTTATTTTCTGCTGAGGGAACCAAAGCAAGATACTTTAGGATAAAACATCATTTCATTTATGACATCTGAACCACTTCTATAATTCCAGAAACTGAACAGGGTTGCTCTGACAGGGATGAAACTCCACCCAATACCCCTAGACAGGACCAGTGTTTGCTTTTGAGTGTGGCAGATCACACCACGAGTGTAAGGGACACCTCTGAATTTGAATTTCCGAAGTGAGGAGGTTGAGATATCCACCTCAGTATCTGGAATTAACCAAATTAATGAAGATGTTTGCTGTTTGCTTTACTACCTCGTCTGGAAGGTGAAGTCATCTGTCTGCAATACAATGGTGACTGCTGATTACGCTGTGTCTTTAAAAGATCACATGACTCATAAGATTTAAACTGCTGACCTTTCTTACTCATCAATAAATTTCAAAAGAGTAAATTATTTGGAATTTTCTTAACCTTTGCAAGGTTTGCATGATCTACACCCTTAGCTAAACCCTCATGTTCCAGTGGGTGGCTCCCCAAATAAACACCAGGCAAGAAATATTTTGGGTTATTATGTGTGTGCTTTTTTTTTTAATTGTATAATTCATTTATACAAAGAAATCATTTGATCAACCTATTTACAGCCTTTCCCAATTTTCATTTCCACTGGGGATATATTTCACATAATGGTTAACAATGACTTACACTGATCACCAGTATAACCTTGAACTGACATGGGGCCTCTGTCCTCCTCCCCCCTTTAAACAGCACGAACCCATTTCTAACACAAACATTTTGCACTGAAGAATCACCAGCTTTTTTTAAATGAAGAAAAGCAACCAGAATTAACCTAATATGGTCAAATTTCCAACACATCCTACAGCTTCTTTTCAAATTTAGTATTTGCAGGTATGAGAAACCAAAGCAAATACAGTTCACATCCCCTCTGGCCTTCTACAACTTCCTTCATACCCTCAGGTCAGGCTTTTCCTATCTCTGCTTCTCTGGTTCAGCCAGACATTTCTACTTTAGACAAGCTATTCTTCCCTTTCCTTCGTTTCTCTTCATTATCCCAGTCTCCTGCCCTCTCTCTTGCTTTTCAGACAACACAAAAACTTCCACCAAAATCCTTCTTGTGGTTTCTTTCAGTAGTCTAGAATATACGAAATCATTTCATGGGTCTTTACCACCCTGTCATGATATACTGTAAAAACTGGAGTTTTCTTAATTGGCTGAAACAGTGTGGCTTGGTTTCACTTGGTAAAATTAATACGATTCACACACACACACACACTCTCACACATGCATACTCGCACACAAACCTTAATTAGGAGGAAAAACTTTAAGGACATGCCAATTTAAAAACACATTGACGTAAAAAAATAAAAGCAAATACTAAAAACTACTTTACAATAAAAAATTAAATAGCTGGCAGAATAAATGAATGAAAAATGAGGAATACACAGTGAAAAACTGATATAAGGCATTCCAGTTGATGAAAACGGAAAACACATCAAGTTTTACCGATGTTTTCCAAGTTTTATCAAGTTTTCCGATGCTTCACTGTAAATATTGAACTATTTCAGACTCACAGATCTTCCATGTAGATTGTAGGTATCATTATTAAAATTACATGCATCATTTGAGGTTTAACAAAGAACACTGATAGAATTTCAGCATTTGCAAAACTTTAAGTTTGGCAGAATCTGTGAATATCACATTTGGTCAGTATTGGAAAGTCATGGTGAAACCAGAGTGAGGACAACACTGGCTTCACACACATTTCTTCTGATAAAAAAGTATCAGGTTGGTCTGTTCCGAATAATCCATAAAAATACCTTTTTAAAGTCTGCAATTTAACAGTAATTTGTTTATCTTTAGCTGCCATTAACGACGACAACAACAACAACAATGAGGGAGGAAGGAAAGGAGGGAGAGCGAATAAGAAAAAGAGAAACCCCAACCATGACCATATTACATCTGGTATAGAGTAACCCTAGGATGCCCCATTACAAGAAAAAAACTGTACAAATTTATAAATTAACAGTGTCCCCACCGGTGAATACACACATTTATACCAGAGTCTCTTTCCTTTTGCCACCTGACTGGGCTTTGTCCCTTGCTCTTCGTAAGCCAGGCTGCGGTCCTTGTGTCTTCCCATTCCTGGTATCTTCTGCTGTCTGTACACTGGAGCCACATTCCAGTGCACTGTCACTGTCTACCTGCATAACACCGGGAGCCACGGACGACCTCTGCTGAGCTCTGAGATTCCCAGCAGAGGGGTTGTTCTCTTCACACTCTTCATGGAGCTCTGGCAAGCCCTGAAGCTCTAGGGGGCTGGAGGCCTGCTGGAAAGGGGCAATGGCAGTGCGAATACAGTTGAACCACTGCTGCTTGTGGAACACGTCATTGGCTTGCAGTGTGTGGGACTGGCCTGGAGAGGGGTCTTGGAAGCGGACTCTAAAGATATTTTTAGCTGAAGGGAGGAAAAAGAAACCAAGACTAAGAAAGTGGGCACAGTCTTAAGGAAAGTTCTGGTATTTATGACACACACTCTTAAAGACAGCCGCTGGCCAGAGGGGGTCAACTCAATGCTATGCCAGCACGTGACTGGGGAATGGTTTTATCCGTAAAATTCTTAGTGGTTAAGTCGAATTTCATGTAGGTACATTTGTTTCTTCTCTTTAGTGTTTTTCAAGGTGGGTCTCACTCTAGCCCAGGTTGGCTTCAAATGTGTGGCCATTCTGCTTCAACACTTTTCTCCCCATCTAATCTGGCTCGGTTGTAACTCTTCTAGAAGGTGTATCTTACCTTTGTCTGAGTTGCCAAAAGCCCCTCGGAAGGAACCGCCCATGCGCACATCCCCATCCTGCAGGTCTTCCAGCACTAGCTCCTGAACTGGGATTGGCTGCCGGTAAACCTGGTAGGACTGACGCTCATTTCGTGTGACAGGCCGAGTCAAAACCAAGATGTCTTGAAATAAGAAAATATACAGTTTCTGCAGAAATGAAGAAAGAAAAAAAACCTTCCTAAGTAGAGGATTAATCATTAAAGAACTGGACTTAACATTTAGATTTTTCTAATTTCTCCTTTAGAAATGGTATCATAAAACAGTGATCTCAAGGCTATGCAGGTTTTTTGGAGCAGTCAAACTCAGGCTACCTAAAGCTCTTTTCTTTCATCAGGCTGCACTTCCAGCTGAGGCAAAAGCTGAGTAAGCACCATATATCTCAAAGAGCTAACACCAGTAGAAACTGTTTACACCCAGGACTGTGCACTGCAGTTTCCAAAACACAGGGATCCCAGGATGTGCTGTGACCATGTTCATGGCTTCACTCTGTCCACACAGGCCTAAGCTTTTACAGAACAATTAGGCCTTGTGATAGAACTCAGATAGGCTGGATTCCAACTTTTTCTTAAACAACCCCCAACTTATAAACCCTCTGGCCCCACTAAAGCACACCTTTTCCTAAGGTAAGTGTTCACGAAATGAGGGAGCATGGGACAGTCGACCCCAGGCACACACACGTTTACAGTTCGCAAGCGGAAAGGAAGGACTATTGGCTGAGGCATTTAACTCTTCCTATTTGCTGTATCAAAGCTGGTCACACAGACACCTTCTTGGTGCAAGCCACAGGTTTATTTTTACAAACCTGCCTCATAATTTATGTGCAAAAAATGAAGCAGGGTGGGAAAGGGAGTAATGGTCTCCTTCCTGTTGGTATTCAAATACACTCACATGGCCACTTTTATTCTTCAGCTCCCCATGGCACAGCAGCACTTTGCTCGCTTCGATCCTGGGGTCCCTCTGCTTCTCGTCCAGGTACTCCAGCTTGTCGATGTAATACTGGCACTCGGACTCACCCTTCTTCAAGTTGATATCAGAAAGAACTCCCTGTATTATCAATATCTAGAAATGACAAAAACAAAAAGAAACCAGATTGGGCAAACGCTGTGTATCATCACCCCACCACAGGGCAGACATTCCCATAAACAGACAGAATCTGAAGCTTAGAGACTCCAGAAATCAGCCCAGCCAGTCTCTTCATTATACATGTGAGAAAGCAATAACAGCCATATTGGGGAATTAGTCCAAGGTCACCAGCCAGCGGAAAGGACTAGATTAAAACCTCGTCTCTTGATGACATGAGATTTAAGAGTACCACTGTATGTTTTTCTAAAGTTATTGATGACAAACTTGAAAAACTCTTATGTGGGATGGATTACTTACTGCTTCCTCCAGAAGTTGGACATCCAGGTGGTCTTTTGGAGTGTGTCTAAGGATTTCTTTTAACAGTAAAGGGTATTTGACAAGGCGGCTTCGAGGAATATCTAGGAAACTCCAAAGATCTAGTTTTCGACTGAAGGGAGACTCTAGACAGCGCTGGAGGAAGTCTTGGACTCTGGGGTCTTGTTTCTTCTGATCCAGAAGAGCCTTGGCTGCCAGCTGGTTACTACAGTAGCCTCTGTAGGCATTTAGGCCTGGTAACTGTGGAGAGAGACAAAACATGACATAACCCTGTAATGATACTAAGCGAAGAGCACAAACCACAAGACAGCATAACCACACATGTGTTTAACAGGCTGTGGACATTTTCCTGGCTCAACTGAAGACTCCTGACTTCTATTTGCAAGCCTCACTAAGATTTTAGTTATCTGTGTTTCCAAGTCACTTTCTCACACTCCTCACAACCCTGACACTATGGGCCTGCTCATTCTCTTGTAAGGTCATAAATGTAGACATGGCCTTCATTTCCGAGTCCCCAGGAATCCTCCTTGAACAGGGGCTGGCATGTAACTCAAGCATTTATTTACATAAAAGAGATTGCAATAGAAGATATGCAGCACAGCATTAAGGAAATTCTGCTCAGGCAGGGACATTATTTGCAAGCAGATATGAAACACAATAAAGTTCTGTATTTTTAAAAAGTTTGTAAGTTCTTATCATTGTAACTTTGCTGGATTTTAATGTCTCACTGTTTTTAGAATCGCTATGAGTGACAACACAGGCTGCAGACCTTCCATATGATGCCTTGCTTACGCACCCAGTTCACGAGAATGTGACCAATCTGTTCCACTGTCCCATCAGGCTTGGTTGCTTCTCCTATTCGTGTCAACAGATCTGAAGTGTACAAAAGTAGAAAGAGCAGTGAGACACTGGCTGATAAAGGACTGGTGAGTACAATGTTATTACTCATTTCAAATGACTTGTGTCAGCGCTATTGAGAGACGAAGGAAAAGTAAGAGCAAAGCTGACCTTCATGCAGAGGTATGTAAGCATCCAAATCTCCAAATATATGTGTGAGCTCCTCTTCAGACATGATAGACAACTTTAACATGGGGTCATGGTAGGCCTATCAGAAATAAATCATAAAGAATGAGCAAAGAAACATTTGAGCAATCTGTCCTTGAGCCTACCCAAGCAATTACATATCAAGGACATAGATTTGGAGAGACTTTACAGTTTCCCTTCACTCTTAAAAGTTTATTAGTGCTCACATTTGAAAAGTTGTGTTTCAATCTCGAGTCAAAGATGTATTCATCAGTAAAACCCTTTTACTTTTCACTTTTCCACTATTCTCCAGAAGCTGTGAAATGTCATTTTTAAGGACTGGCATGTGGTAAAGTGACTACTGACCTTTCTAGCAAGCTTGAGATCCTCAATTAAGTCCTGTTCTCCTCGGGACAATTCATATATTGCCTAAAGACACCCAGAAACAGAGGTCAGAAATGAAAAGTTAATATTTATAGTGTAGTTAATATTTACAGTGACTGATGTTTTGAACAGCTCTTTTAAAAAGAGATTTGGTCTGAAAATTCTAATTCAGGATGGAATCTCAAGTAAGTTTGCAATTTATTTCTCTCATTTTACCCACTAGAGTTGTTGAATCTTACAACCACCACCCATTATACATTGTTATAGACTGGGTGGCTATAAATAGTTGCTCAAATAAAAAATTAGGCAGCACTTTCCCACTCTCTGGGAAGATATGTATTTAAAAAACTTTTTTCTTTCAACTCAATAAACATACTCTGAGTACTGAGTGCTCACACATACCTCCTGACGTTTGATCTCTCGAGTGGTCAAGGACTCCTTCATACTGATGTCTAGCATCTCTGACCATAGCACACTGCTTCTTCTCTTGGTGGGTGTTGGGACTGTGGACCTGCTGAATGACTTCTGGGCAGAGGCTGGGGATCTGTGCTCACCACGAAGGGTAAAGGACTAAAGAGGCAAACAAAAGGGAAGGTGAGATTTGGAGGCCACAACAATTATCTTGCAAAAAAAAAAAAAGCATCATAACTAATTAAGACATATTTTTGAAAATGCTCAATATGCAAAACACTTAAGCTTTAATCTAATAGGTAAAAATACTTAGCAACTCCAGTTAGTTATGGTAATGAAAATGGTCTAAAGAGTAGTCTTTGACAAAGAATCCAAATAAACAAGGCTTACACAAACACTACTCTAGTAAAGTACTCCCTACCAGCAGGTTCCAAAACCAAACACTATGTAAAACAATGCAAACAAGTTTATACAGCTCAAAGAAAAACAAATCTTAGGTGTCTATAAAATGTGCTTTAATACACCTTCCTTCCCTCTGTTTTACCTGTATGGTTTGACCAAAGCGCCTGACTGCTCCATTTCTTACGGGAGAGATTAAGTTTGCCAAGGATGTGACCCGAGCTAGAGGCCGAACTCTTTTATTGCTTGGCTCCTGGGAAAACAAAACCAAATTATAATAAATGTGTTGAGGTGTAATGATTTCATACAAGTCCAGACAAAGTTAAACCCTCTTACAAAACGGTGTTTGTATAAGACAGGGAGACAGGGAACTACAAAAATGACTGCTGTTCACCACATTAAACTAGAATAATACCAAGTAACAATAGCTAAAAAACAAAAAACAAAAACAAAACCCAATGTTTCACCTCTGTCCCAGTGCTATGTAATTCCACTCTTAATTACTTCAGCTGAGAATAACCTTTAAGCATGTCTGATACTAAAATGGGTCAAAAAATGCTCAAGCCAAGGCAAAGAGATGTTCGCAGGACTCCAAGGCTCTGAGAGGCCTAGAGTCCTGGCTCCAGGTCGTGTAATGGCACAGCCAGGGCCTCACTTGTCAGGGCTAAGAACCAGCAGAGCTTTTAAAATAGCACAGTAGACATGTACTTAGCATCCTTGAGTTTCAAAGCTTCACAGTTAGTATGAGCGATGTGGGACACATAATCAGATGACTTCAAACAGTTCCTGAAATAAAGAACTCCAAATCAAGAGGACTACAGGGGGAGCATAAACTGCTTGCATCTGATGCCTCTGACAAGTGTCACACAGGATAAAATGTGAGATAAATGATGAGATTCAGAAGAATATATAACTTAAAGATTTTTATTTCTAAGATTAACTTACTATAATTAATCTTAATTTATATTAAGATCACCAAAGCCTGGAGTGGTGGTCTACACTCCAATACTTGGCAGGCAGAGTCAGGCAGATCTCTTTGAGTTCAAGACAAATTTGGTCTACAAAAGGGGGTTCTAGGCCAGCCAGGGCTATATAGAGAGACCCTGTCTAAAAAAAAAAATTAAATTCAAAAGTAGGAGAACATTTCCCCCCTAAAAATTTGGGTAAGACCAAAATTACTTTCAAAGAAGGGGCAAGGAAACCGAACAAAAATAGCCCTTATATAATTTAGAACAAAGTGGGGAAAAAAGTACAAAATCAGAAACTTAAATGAGTCAAGTAGCCCAAGAAGCAACTGGACTTTTAAATGAGTGCACACGCACACACTAAAAAGGGCGTGAGTGGCTGAGCAGACTTCAAAGAGAATTCACAACTTTTGAGGCTTTAAGAGACAGTTGTAAACCACTCCCTCCCTCCTACAAATAACTAACTACGAAGAAGCCTTAACTATAAAACCACAATGAGCTGAAAAAGAAGCCTTTGAGGCATGTAGTAAAATGGCACGCGCTGTATGACGAAGGACATGTGTGAATGCCTTCCCCACACATCTGTGCAGACTGAGTGACACATGCGTGTGCAGGGGCAGCTTGAGGCATTCCTTTCCATTTAGTAAAGACAGCACAAAGAGTCTCCTGTTTGAATGAGATAGAATTACCTCACAAAGCAAGATATGCCAACATTAACTAGACACAAAGCAGCTGCTGGCTCTCTGTGCTTTTGGAAGCAGAGGTTAGCACCTCTTCCCTGTTCAAAGCATAAAAGTTTCACTTCCTAGTAAATCACCAAATATTTAATTTCCAATGGAAGGTCTTCAGAAAGGTGCACCTCCCATTGAGTTAGAAAGTAAAAGTCAGGTTAGTTAAGAAGACAAGAATTTTGATATTATTATATTAAATAAAATTCTTGATAAATTCTTATCTTTATAAGATGTTATATAAAACTAGTACTTTCTTGGTAGTTAAAACTTTGTCCTGTTTATATGAGAGAGATTATTATGACTATCACTGTGCTAAGGACCAACCCAGGTCGCTTGTGAGAACTAGAGCATGTAGACTTAGGTAACTGTTTATCTAAAACACTTTTATGGCACTAATATGGATTTTGTTTATGCATTTCTTTAGGTTGCTCTTGGTGGCTAAACGCATTCATAGTTCTTTAAAAAGAGCTACCATGTCACCAATTTACAAAGGATGCCAGTAATCAGTTTGTCAAGTGTGAAATGCTTGGTGGGAAAGTAGAGTGTGCACACATGGCAGGTTTGAACGAGGACTGTCAAGAGTTCCAGGCCAGCCTGGCTTACCTAGTATGATGTGAGAAAAAACAAAATAGAACATACAAAAAACAAACAAACAAACAAAAAAAAAAACCAAAAAAAATGACAAACATGGTGGGACACTCATTTGGAAATTCCTTTTCAAATAATGAAAAATTTTAATGAAAGGTAAAAATGTAACACCAGAAATGGCCTACTGTCAATTTCAAGATACAAACACTATTTAAAGAAAAGATCATATATAATTTTTTTTTTGGGGGGGGGGAGGGAGAAGGGAAATGAATTAGGTACTGAAGGAGTCAGAAAAAAGGTAGGGACAAAAGTCTGTGTCTTTGGGAATATGGATTATGATTTGAGCTGTGTAAATTACAAGCAAAAAAAGTTTTTCTTTTACATGTCCAAGTGAACAACTTTAGTTACATGGATTTATTAAGGACATGAGCAACTGTATCATAACTGTTGTTACACCCACATTCACCTCTCCCCACACAGACGCAGCAGTGATATTTGAAGGTGATGAAAGTACACACCCACAGACACCCACTCACACAGGTACACACACACACACACACACACACACACACACACACACACACACTCCTCCAAAGGTAAGCTTAATTACACAATGGTGGTGGAGACTTGCTTAGAGTGCTGGAACATGAACAGCTTAAAAACACTCATAGACACACCATGCACTCTCCCCCTATAAAGACAGGCAGCAAATCTGGGAGAATAAACAAAAAATGCTAACAAGGAACTTGTAGTGAAGGCAACCTTTTATGAGGGCCAAGGTTCAGATGGAGGGGGAAAAGACGCCTTCTCAGAGGCCCAGGCTGTTTACTCAGGTTAATCGTTAATCAGACTATTTAGTTCAGACAGCCGGTATCCATCACCTTAGAAGCTCTGCCTTAGCTAGGGCTTTTTACTAAGTTTTCACAATTCACCTCCACCAACTTTTTGCCCTAAGATATTATCAGAATATCTACAAACAAAAAATTAAGTCTACTTTAAAGCTTTACTGGGATGTATCTTACTTATAAACATAGCAGTCTGGATGAAACCCTTTGATTAATTTAGCTTTTTGTAAATCCCCCCCACAATGATGTCATCACAGGGCATATTTTAGAGTCAATCAAGTTATGATATTTTTAAAAGTCAGTATGTATGTGTTTCATTTTATTCCTTTTGGACTGCACATTCATAATCTCTCACATTAAAAAAAAAACGTTGTTTAAACCCAAAAATATAAGAATAAATAAAGTTTTCTTTTTTTTTGAGAAAGATAAAGTCAAGTTTTGATTACACAGTATTCTTTCTTTTACACTCAAGTCATTAAGGCTGTGTTTTAAAGGTTTTAAAGTCTGGATTCCATTTCTGGCAATTTTAATGTTCCAAGAAAAGGGGCCAGGAAAATTGCCTATGTTTCATACTAACAAAAAAGGCTCAACCTTAATGGCCCAAAAGATAGCTACTTTGAGTATTTTTACTCAAAGCATTGTATGAAGCATTTTCTTACGCTTATTCGTTTTATAAAACATAAGAAAAACTGAAACCAAACAAAAAGCAAACTCAATGTCAACCCCCAAATAAAGGCACAGTTCCTGAAGATGGCAGTTTAACACCCCAAATGTATGTATAACAAACAGCTTCCCCGAGGCATGCAATAAACTGCTCATGTTTAAAGTGGACAATTACATGTATTTTGGCAAAAAACATCACCATCATCAAAAAACTTGGTTAGCTGAACCCATAATCACTTCTACCACACTGGGAGACTCACCGCAGCACCAATCAACTGCCAAGATTACATAAAATGGCATAAAAGAATTGTTTCATAAACGTTCACAAAGACTTTAGAAAGCCAAAATGACTTCAAGCAAAGCAAGGCAGGCAGAGCGTCAGTGTTCCACTGGCTCAAACGCCCTTTCAGAAGAGGCACAGGGCAAGCTTAACTACATATGTAAAGAAAAACGCACGGATGCCAGTCACACTCTACTCCCTTGATCACCAGCACTGTGAGGAAAAGATTCGTTTTTTTCCTTCCTCCCTTAAAACAGTCCCTTAAGACTTAGTAGTTAAGGTTAAAAAAAAAGCACAATCATATCAAATGTATTTACTCAAAGACATATATTTAAATTCTTCTTTGTATGTACCATACATAATTTAGCTATGTTACATACATAAGCCCGCTTAACTTCAGACCACAGTTCCTGAACACATTTCTGGCTTGCTCACAATAGTTACACATTTTAGGATATGATGCGATTAAAAGTTTGAAAGTGAAATTTTAACGTCTCAGAAGTTCTGCGGAGTTGGAAAACATTCCTTTGGTCTGCTCTCTTACCTCCTGCTCCCTGAAGGGCTGGCTGTTACCGTCTAAGACTCGGATGGTCCTTTTAATGGGCAGGAGACCTCCGATCTCATCATGCGCCACCATGCTTTACAAGTGTCCCTTCAAATCTTTCAAGTTAGTCCACATGCGAGTCAGCCCCGCATGGCAGCACCGCCAAAGCGCTCTGGCTTTTCTTCCGAGTGCTCAGCCTGGCCCAGCAGCCATGCGCCCATGCCTCCGGCCCGCGGTGGAGCTCCAAGCTTCTGCAAAAGCAGTGAGCACGCACGCAGACCTCAGGACTCCGGGGCGGGGCCAGAACCCACGTGACTCCAGATAGCCGCGGAGGGGCGCACCTAGGCTGCTCCGCAGGAGTGGCTGCTCTGTCTGAGCTGTGCAGGGCGTTCTGAATAAAAAAGCCACTGGAACTTGTCCGGGACGAGCTGAAGCCCACAGGAGGCCGAGTGAACGCCAGAGGAACCTACCTCAGTCAATTCTCTAGCACTTGGTTTCGGACAGAGACCCTTCTCTAAAATTAACGCCTTGGAAAGAACTGAGTACGGGTTAAAAAACTACGAAGCAAAGACTTCTGCAAACCCTATGCTGTAAAGAGGAGCAGTTCAGGCTAATGCACAACTGTAAAATTACTCGC